AACCCTCAAGTTTACGTGCCCGGATTTCGAAAATATTTGAAGATAAACTTTACCCATAACACTACGAACTCAAATATATGATTTACTCCTAATTCCATGTCCGATTCGTGGTCAAAATCCAAAAATACCAATTTCTAGATTTTTCTTCAAAAATCCCAAATTTTTATAATTTTTCATGCTTGAATCCATATAAAATCCTTGTATTTAACTCACAATAGGTGGGGATAATTTACATTGCCATTGATGATGAAAACCTCCACTTGAAGCTCTCCAAGAATCGCCCCAAACCAAGAGAGAATGAAAGAAATGGGCCAAATACCATCTTAAAAACAACTCACTGCCCAGCCCCGGACTTCGCACCTGCGGTCCTTTTGCCACTTCTGCGCCTCCACTTCTGCGGAGGATTACTCGCAGGTGCAGCTCTCCCCCAAGGCCAGCTCATTCGCTTCGGCGCTCCTTCACCGCAGGTGCGCATCTGCTTCTGCGAAAATCTTCTGCACTTGCGGACTCCCAGTCCCTCACTCCCTTCCGCTTCTGCGACTTGCCTGGCCGTTTTTGCGGCATCGCACCTGCGGCCCTTTTTTCGCAGGTGCGATTGCACCAGCAACCAGAAAAATCCTAGCATTCCCTTTGTTCAAAAATCGATCCGTTAACCCTCCGGAATCCACCCGAGGTCCTCGGGACCTTAAATCAATATACCAGCATGTCCCAAAATACAATACGTACTTAGTCGGAGCCTTAAACCACGTCAAACAACATCAAAAATCATGAATCGCGCCTCAAATCAAATTTATAAATTTTCAAATTTTCAAATTCTATAACTTGTGCCGGAACATACCAAATTAAGTCTGAATGACCTCAAATTTTGCACATAAGTCATTATTGACATTAAATACCTACTCTTACTTTCGGAATCAGAATCCGACCCCGATATCAAAATATCCACTCCCGGTAAAACTTCCCAAAAAATCATCCAAATTCCAACTTTCGCCAACTGATGCCGGGATGACCTACGGACCTCCAAATCACTATCCGGACTTGCTCATAAGATTAGAATTACCATACAAAACTATTTCAAGGTTCAAAATTCCAAACGGACATCGATAACATAAAAATCCACTCCAACTCAAACTTAAAAAATTCTTAAACTTTCAAAATGCCAACCTTCCGTAATAAGCACTGAAATACTCCCTAGCCACCCGATTCTCCACCCGAACATACACCAGGTTCAAAATCATCATACGAACCTATTGGAACCTTCAAATTCCGATTTCGAGGTCGTTTACTCAAAAGTCAGAGTTTGGTCAACTCTTCCAACTTAAAGCTTCCAAATTTAGAATTTTATTTCCAAACCAACTCCGAACTTCCCGAAATTAAATTCCGACCACACGTACAAATCATAACACCTGAAGTGAAGCTACTCACAACCTCAAGCCGCCGAACGATGCGCTAGAGCTCAAAACGACCGGTTGGATCGTTACATCGCTCCTCCACTGAAGCTGAATATAAGGCCATTGCCAATGCAGCCGCAAAAACTAATTGGACTGTCAACCTTTTGAGTGAACTTCATTTCTCTACCTCCAACACTCCAACAATCTGTTGTGATAATCTAGGAGCCACTTTTCTGAGTCAAAACTCAATCTTTCACAGGGAAATGAAGCATTTAGCTCTTGACTATCACTTTGTACGAGAGCAGGTCCGAGACAAAACATTAGTTGTTCATCATGTTCCTTCTGAATCTCAGCTTGCTGATTCTCTTACTAAGGTGGTATCAGCTACAATGTTTCATCGTCATCGATCCAAAAGTGGCATTGTCGAGTCACCGCCTATCTTGCGGGTGCATAATAAGGCAACATAATCTTTTTCTATATTTGATTCACTGTAATCTTTTTGATTATTTTGTAATTTATTTATTTTTATTACAATCCTTATTCTTTTATGTATATCTTTGATTGCGATCCTTTATGATCCTTCTTTCCTTTTGTACCTGAGCAACCTTGCTCCTCCATCTTGTATTTAAAGAATCTCAATGTAATAGATGAAGCAGTTTTATGTAAACTCACTGTAATTAAAATAAAAAGGACTTACACATATTGTTACTATTACATGAATATACGTTGAACATCCCCAGATGGAGCTACTTAAGATTTCATGAAACTGTTAGAATCTTTAATTGCCTGAAAGAGAATTATACGGTAGTTTTATGTGCAAACTTTTAAGAGCTTAGGTTAGGTTTGTATATCCAGAAAGAGAACCAAAAGCAGCTAATTAAAATCTTAGACAATAGTTGAAAAGTCAGAGGAGAATAAGGATATATAACAAAATTAGAAGTGTTTATCTTTGTTTTAAGTTTTAACCTTGTAGCCTGTAGGAAGGATCAATGGTGATTGGATATGGACATAATGAATTCGAAAACTTGTTCGTACGACATTTGACAAAAGGTTGGACACTTAGGTGGTCACACCAACAAGTGGCTAACTTTGTACTTATTTCAAGATGGTATCTAATCTGATTTACAAACTTTGATTTCCACTTGCTACTACCACAATTAGGAAAATTATTAATTTGGTTGCGTGTGCCTTATTGAATAATTCGTTTCTCTCACAACTTACCAAAAAAAAAAAAAAAAAAAAAAAAAAAAAAAAAAAAAAAAAGAGAAGAAACGGAAACTTGATTGAATTTGATTTTTAAAAGTTAGATAGAGAAGTCTCTTTCCATATAAAAAATTAAGTTAACATATGTTACTTAGAAATAAATTAAATTTAGACAGTAATACTACAACCCTATAATTCGTGCATGCTTTCGTCGACATACTACAACATATCTTCCTTTTGTAGTGAATTCAAATTACACGTTGGTATATGTTGGTATAAAGTTTGACGAAAGCAATAAAATAGACAAAAACACAACAGCCTTTCAGATAATTATCTTGAAGACCATAAATTTTGCATACCATTTGGCAAGAGAACAATCATTATCTCAATGTCACATGTCTCTTCAAAGTCAGCAAGAGAAATGAGTCTTAACAACATTTTTGATATATAAATTAATTTGTGGTCGACTAAGCTAAAAGAAAGAGAGTCTTTTAGTATAAAATAAACCAAGATTAACACTAAACTAGAATGGAGCATGAGAACTGAGAACTGAGAACTGAGAGGTGAATTGGAACGGTTCGAGTAATGACATAATACATCCATAGAAGACAAAAAAAGGAAGTTTGCGTCAAATCTTAAAGATTTCCGTTTGTCCTTTACCGACAGAAGCTTCAATCTAATTTATTTCGTATGTTCAAATACTCCCACCAGCCTCAACTATGGCACTACTAGGCTGTCAACGTCAACATCCACCGTCAGGGCCGGCCATGACGTGGCTCCTCACTCTTTCTTTCTCGGCCGAATTCAGTTGTAGTATATCTATATATATATAACTTTAAATTTGGAAATGAATGTTTTGTGCTATAATAGTCTCGTAAATAATTTTTACGGTAATTTAAATTGACATAAAATAATATATTTTTAATATCAAGCATGATATGACAAATTTGGAAAATAAAGCAACAATTGTTACTATGAATTAAATTGCATTGATAGTATACTCTAGAGTTAAATAGGAAGGGGAACTTTGGCGTAACCGGTAAAGATCAGGAGGTCACGGGTTTGAGCCGTGGAAATGGCCTCTTGCACAAATGCAGGATAAAGTTACGTACAATAGGACCTTGTTGTGCGACTTTTCCCCGGATTTCGCGCATAACGAGAGCTTAATGCACTACGAGTATACTTTAGAGTTAAGAATTTAGTGGCAGATCAAATTAACAGTGCTTACAGGTCCAATCCGCTATATATACATGCAATAAAACAAGTATAAGCAGGTTAGACATACATTTCACAACCTAGTCGTTCAACTCAGAATTCACCTCATTGCCTGCGAACTCTCTCAATTCGAGGCAACATGAATTCATTTATTAATTTCCAGATATACATCATCAATTATGATAATGGGACTACATTCACTGTCAACAAGACTCAGTCAAGTCGTGAGGCTACTCAATAATAGTGAGTCTCAGACGTAGACAACACGTTAAAATTCTTCAAAAACCTTCTTGGGCTGTTGACAATATTGATAACTCTAAATACCAACTTTGTATTACTAGTATTTGTTTAACTTTTATTCTTGATATACAATAATGCGTTGACATTGACATGATAAAGCCAATTCAACTATTTAAACAGTACAAGGTAACACTGCCCACCAATATATATACAAGGTAGTTCTTCTTATCAAAGCAGCTTAGATTGACGGGATGTAAGATTTAAACTATAGTCTACCATGATTTTCACCGGTTAAATATAGAAAAAGAAATCACTTAGTGTTTTTTTATTTTCCATGATTCTTTCACTCATTCTAATGACGGCTAGGCTTGGTAATTCTCTTAGGTGTATGCAGGGGCGGATGTAATCTTTGGGTTACGGGTCCATCTTAACCTATAACTTTCGACACGGAATATATATATATATATATGTAAAATTAACTTACTAAACTCTCAACAAATTTTAACGGTATAATTAATTATGTACATAGTTGAACCCATTTAATTTCAATCTTGGATCCGTTGGGTGAGCACTCTTTTTAGCTTATGGGTTTTCCACTCTCATGGAGTTCAACTTCCCTAAAGCGTGTATAGGATTATTCAACTGGTCCCTCTTGGCAACTTCTTTAAATATATAACTTATAGTTGACAATGACATTAAAATTTGATTTTCCACAAAAATCTAAAAAATTGCTTTTTTGAAGAAGACTTTGTCTAATTATGCTAAACCTAATCAAGTTGTTAATATTCTATTTACGATTAACACCCTCTATGGTCAACTATTATCATGGAAAGTGTTCAATATTTGATGCCTGTGATGAAGGGTTAACCAGCTTTGCAAAGAGTTATAAAAGTAATTTGTTGACTTTTTTGGGCATATAAAGACCGAGTAAACTCAACGTGGTCGTGAATTTTACACTTCCAATATTTTATATAGGTGAAAAATTTGAAGTTGGAGGTCAGTCATTGTGTTTAAATTATGTGAACAAAATAAAATAAATATTTCACGTAGAAGATAGTTGTGTGGGAGGAAGTAAAAGTCTGTATTTTTAAAACTTAGACAGTGATTTGGCTAATTGAATTAAACAACCCCTTATTGATGAATACTAGTAAATGCATCAGATAGCTGTCAGCTAAGAGATAATCTTGTCGTGGGGAGCAGAACTTGAAAAGGGATTTGAGGTTGAAATTCTCTTCTAGCTTTTGTGGAGGAGTACTGTTTTTCTTGAACGTTGTCACATGGTAGTTTCTCTGGCAATGATGCCAAGGAGAATTCAGCTTTGTTTTCTTGTTGTTTGGATACATGTTCTGGCAATATCAGCATGGACAAATCCTGATGATTGTAAGTTGATTTTGTTCTTCTATCAATTGTTTCTTAATTAATTTACAGAACTACTTGATTATCTGTGAGTACTGGTGTTCAAATCTTAGTTTTCCTTCAGAATTTGTCCCTTTAGGTGATGTAGGATTCTGATTTTAGAGAAATCTTTGAATGAAATGGTCTATTACTTAATTTGTTCAGTATCAGAGAGGTGGAATAGGATCAAGAATATGAATAAATGCTGCTTTGAGTTCCAGGTGTAGGACTATAACGTCTATGCTGGAATTGGCAATGTTTTGGTTTGCTTTGGTTTTAGTTAATCCCTTAGGAAACACTAAAAGCAAAATGATTTGCTGTCTAAAATACAGTGTCTTGCTTCCATTTTTTCTCAAATAGGCACTTGAATGGATTTTGTTATTTTCTTTTTTCCCCTCAAGATGCTGTTATCGCTTCGACTTTCTGTTAAGCTGGAATATATTGTGGATCCAAGAGTTTTGTATAGGCTTAAGTTGATAGCATTAGAAGGTTTCATAATATAGTATAACTGGTGTGAACTTTGCATCCTTCCTATTTTTCTTCTTGGATAGGTCATTGTGAATTCGAGCATCTTATGTTGTATTTTCGTGTTGTGTAGTTGTTTAAAATTCAATAATCTTGGCTGTCTTGCTCATATATGCAAATAAGACAGATAAAAGAATTGTTCCAGTAAAGGTGTATCCAGTTCTTGATTCAGCGTTTTAGCCCTATGTAAATTTGTGAAAAGGAATCATCAGATATCTCATGTTCTCTTCGAGATATGGTCAATTCAGTTTCTAGTAAAGAAGAACTGATTTAATATTGTATTCAGTTGCTGCACTACAGTCTCTCAAGGATTCATGGCAGAATGTTCCACCCAATTGGGCTGGAGCAGATCCCTGTGGGAGTCAATGGGAAGGAATTGGATGCAGAAATTCACGAGTGATTTCTATGTAAGAATTCAACGCGCCTCCCATTATCGACTACATCAAAATTATATACTTGTAAGGTTGATGTCATCTTTCTCAATTTTTCAGAACATTATCAAGTATGAGTTTGAGCGGTCAGCTATCTGGAGACATTCAAGGATTATCTGAATTGCAGACTTTGTAGGTCTTCTTTCACATTTCCTGATTCTCCTGCACTTACTTTTTCTTATGAAAATAGAGTTGTGAAACTTAAAGCCAATTCTAATTATTGACTGCATGCTATAGGGATCTTTCATACAACAAGGAGTTGACAGGATCTCTTCCTCAGTCTATTGGAAAATTGACAAAGCTATCAAATTTGTAAGTGAATCTGAATAATTGTCCCATTCATTTACCAGCTAATCTCATGATAATATGCTGATTTTTTTCTTAATTTCATGACAGGATCCTTGTTGGTTGTGGGTTTTCTGGACCAATACCAGACTCCATTGGATCTCTGACTCAGCTGGTTTTTCTGTAAGCATTCTACTCTTTTCACTCTGAACGGGAGACCAGTATGCGACATATTTTACCAGTATGCAAAGAAGTTTACTCATCTATTTGGTTTAAGTTGTTTGCACTGTACAGAATATGATGGATCAGGGAATTGATGTTTATATCAGCTTAAACTATGATTCTTTTAGCATTATAAAGTTACATATTACATGATCATTTTCTGTTTTCGTTTCAATCAATGAAATGATGAGCATCTTGAACGAATATTTTTGACGAATACTCATATTTTGGTCCATCTCTTGGACAAGCAATGCACTTCTAAACTGAGAAAACAGTTCACGAGGAGTTAACAGTACTGCTATATATTCTTGTGTTTATACATCATCAAATCCAAATAATTGTGTTTTTTACCATATATATCTGTATATGAAACTTCTGAGTTCTTTCAATTCCTTCTTCTTGTAAACGCTCTAAAACAGCCCCATTTTGCATTATGCAGATCTTTAAACTCTAACAACTTTATTGGACGAATACCTGCTACCATTGGCTATCTTTCAAAGCTTTATTGGCTGGATTTAGCTGACAATAAGCTTACTGGAACACTTCCAGTCTCTAGTGGGAGCTCACCTGGACTTGATATGCTTCTTCACACTAAGCACTTGTACGTATCTCCTTTATTTGTTGTTGCTTTTTCTCTCAAATGTATGTTCTAAGATTATTTACATCACTTCACAGTCATTTTGGGAAGAATCAGCTATCCGGTGAAATCCCAGCTCAACTTTTCCATTCTAATCTGACTCTGATTCATCTGTAAGTTTACTATTGGCAAAATAGATTGAATGTATTATTACATTCGTTAATATTTGAGACACCCACTAGTATTTAGCTTACCTTTTGATAGTCTTGTTAGTGCATGATCTTGCTTCTGAGAGTAATCATGTGAGAGAGGCTTGGAAATCATATCTTTATGGTATTTATATGTTTCTTTGGATGACATAGCACAGACCAATGTATTTAAAATGACTAGGTGAACCTAGGCAAAATGGTCCTGGTCATTGCCCAAGTTATAGAGTGATTGCCCGACGAGTCTTTCTAGGATGTTTGAAATAAAAGAGTACAAATCCCTTTTTTTGCTTATCATGTACTTCATCTACATTTTGTTCTGTTAAGTTTGTCCATATGATAAGTTACCCCCATAACTATAGCAAATAACATTCCTTCTGACCGTGCTTTCTTGTTTCCTCATGCGCGTATATTCTAACTTCTAGGCTAGTGGAGAACAACCAGCTTACTGGAAATATACCGGATACGTTAGGACTTGTCCAGACTATGGAAGTGCTGTAAGTATTGCTATCTTGTGCTTTCCTTTTATAATCTTGTAATGTTTCTTACTGTCTATACAAAGTGAGTTTTTGTGAACTAAGCTACTGTGCTTGCAACAGTCGTCTTGACAGGAATTCGTTAAGCGGATCTGTGCCACAAAACCTCAACAATCTCACACATGTCAATGAACTGTAAGTAGAAAATGAAACAATTTTCTGAACCTACCTTATGTCCTTATGATTTCCTAATGTAGCATGCTTTGACAATGTATCACAGCCACATATCAAACAATAATTTGAATGGTCTTTTGCCGAATCTCACTGGCATGAATGTCCTCAATTACTTGTAAGTTGCTTATCCTAAGTTTTGTGCCTTGATCCCTTTGAGCTGATAATTGGTTATTGCTCAGAATCGTACTATAAATATTCCTCCCAATCTATTTGTTACTTTTTCGGAAAAAAAGGAAATTTGTTAATCTCAGTATCATGATGAGGGACTTAATTTTGCAGGGACATGAGCAATAATTCATTTAATGCATCAGATTTCCCATCATGGATTCCAGACCTGCAATCTCTGACAACAGTGTATGTTCTCTCTCTCTCTCTTCAGAGCGCGTGTGTGTGTATATATATGTTTGTGTAGGCACGTCCATGAGCAGGTGCGCAGGTGCATGTCAGCATGTGTGCACTGTGCTAGTGTATGCCTGCATCCATTTGAATATGGACAGGTTCTCTTTTTCTCATTTACGGTCTCAATTCCCAGAAGTTCTTCTTAACCTAATAAATGACCTTGTATTGACAGGGCAATGGAAAACACAGGACTCCAAGGATTAGTTCCAGCTAAATTATTCAGCCTTTTCCAGTTGCAGACTGTGTAAGGGTCCCTATAACTTTGTGTCTGTTGTATTTCATGGAACTTGGTTTTATAAACGATAGATATTGAGTATGCTGAGATTTGATGACAATGCACTCATTTCTTATTGACAGCAATATGAGGAAAAACAGACTTAATGGCACACTTGAAATTGACTCCTCGTATAGCAACCAGTTGCAACTCATTGATATGCAGAGCAATCTTATTGATTCATTTACTCAAAGACCAGGATATCCCTTTCAGATCTTGTAAGCTCTCTTCCTTGTTTTTTAAACGTCCAAGTTATGAGAAAGAACATACAGTGGAGAACTCTTTGGCCTAAGCTTATTCGGCCATATGATTATGTTCTACGCCAAACTTGACTGTATCATGTTTATTACCTTATTTTGTTACTGTTTTCCTTTGCAGACTTGCAGGTAATCCTGTCTGCAATGAAGGAACAACACAAACTTACTGTGTCCAAGCCCAACAAGCTGATTCATATTCTACTCCACCAGAAAATTGCTTGCCAACTGAGTGCAGCTCTGATCAAATTTCTAGTCCTACCTGTAAATGTGCTTTTCCATATACAGGCAACCTAGTCTTCAGAGCTCCTTCCTTTTCCAACTTGGGAAACAAAACTACCTATGAGACTCTCCAAAAGTCTTTGATGCTTTCATTCCAAAACCGTCAACTGCCTGTCGACTCAGTTTCCCTCAGCAACCCTACAAAAAATTTAGATGACTACCTTGTAATACACCTGCAAGTCTTTCCTTCTATCCAAGATTATTTCAATCGAACTGGAGTTTCTGGAATAGGTTTTGTGCTTAGTAATCAGACTTTCAAGCCTCCGTCGACATTTGGACCTTTCTTCTTCATTGGTGAAGGCTACAAATACTTCGATGGTAATACAACTTTTCCAGATCTATATTTCCTTCTCCTTTTTCTTGGCTCATTTCTCTTCTCCTACTTATATATGCTATCTAATCTAGAATAGTAGAAATTTGGTGGGTGAAAAACCAACAAATATTTGGTATTGATGATTAAGTTTTCATAAACTTGGTTTGACAGAAGAATTAACTCTTCCTGATAGGACTTTGAACATGAAGAGCAATTACTATAGGTCCGCTGTTTTGATTATAATATCAGCTTTATAAGTATTCAACTTAAGAAGTACAAGATTCTGAAAAATTCATCGATCCTCTTGATGGCAAAAATTTAGTTTGCATACATGTGATGGATCAATTTCCATTCTTTGTTCCTATGTTTCTGTTAAGAATTTGGGTAAACCCTAATGAACTTATCAATAACTTATTTGTAACGACACAGGTTTTTCTAATTGGTTTTCTTAGGAAAACTTAATCCTTAAATGACTGCTAGGAATTCAAATTATTTGTTGGAACATTATGAAACTTGCATAATATGGATTTGAACTTGATAGTTATAAGTCTGAGTCTCTGAGTATTCTGTTCTCCAGGTGCATCCAGTGGATCACACAAATCATCTAGTACAGGCATTATCATTGGAGCAGCAGTTGGTGGTTCTGTCCTTGTAATTTTAGCACTAATCGTTGGTCTTTATGCTTTCCGGCAAAAGAAAAGAGCTGAAGATGCTGCAAGGAGGAGTGATCCTTTTGGTAAGATTTAGAACTAACTATTTTCCATTTACCTATTACTTCATCTTACGGTGGTTGTTGCTATCTTTCACTTTAATGCAGCATCCTGGGACTCAAATAAACATAGTGGTGCTGTTCCACAGTTGACAGGAGCAAGATTTTTCTCATTTGAGGAGCTCAAAAAAATGACAAATAACTTTTCAGAAACCAATGATATTGGATCTGGTGGTTATGGCAAGGTTAGCTTTCATTGACTAGGTGCACCCTCCCCCAAACCCCATCCCCCAACCAACACCACCGTAAAAAGAATACTGAATGATATTTCTTAAGGCATAGTCTACCATTTCAGTAAGAAGGTGTTGGCAACAATTTAAACTGAATTAAGTTACAAGTGTGGAAGTTACATCCTGCAGGTTTACAGAGGAACTCTTCCAAATGGACACCTGGTTGCAGTTAAAAGAGCTCTACAAGGGTCTATGCAGGGTGCACTTGAGTTCAAAACTGAGATAGAACTTCTCTCAAGGGTTCATCACAAGAATGTCGTTGGCCTTGTTGGCTTTTGTTTCGATCAAGCTGAACAGATGCTGGTGTATGAGTATATTCCTAATGGCACCTTAAAAGATGGTCTTTCAGGTATATCTTGGTCCCTACCATTCTCTTTCACCATTATTATGAGAAGACTATAGGGTGGTACTTGCTGAATTAGCTATCCAACATTGTCGGAAGTCCAAGAATTTATTTATGATTAGTTGTTGCAAAGTAGTCATTAACAAAGAAAACCAATTTCTTAAATAGGAGTGGAAGTACTGAACCATTTTCACTGAGATAAAATCTCCAACCATTTTGCTTCCTGTTAAGTTCTATATAGAGAACATTAGACTATGTTTAGGTAGAATCAGAAACATGTTCATCGACTAGCACCTTAGACTTTTCCTTCTTATTGATTCTTTGAAACTAGCTTCTTATAACTTCACCAAAGGAAAATGTGCCTCTGGAGAATGTGATGAAATTTATACTTGTAGGCAAGACTGGGATCAGGTTAGATTGGATGAGGAGACTGAAGATAGCCCTTGGAGCAGCCCGAGGTTTGCAGTATCTGCATGACCTTGTCAATCCTCCTATCATACACAGAGACATCAAGTCCAACAACATCTTGCTGGATGAACGCCTAAACGCAAAAGTTGCTGATTTTGGTTTGTCCAAGCTTCTAGGTGACTCTGAAAGGGGTCACATTACCACTCAGGTCAAAGGAACAATGGTGAGTAAAGATTCTCTTCATGCCTGCCCAAACTTGTTTGATTAAGAATATTGTATGCTTATATCCTAGCATTTTCTGATGTCCACAAGTTCAGAAATTGTATTGTCTCGATAATTTCTAGTCCAGGAGGAACCATTACAAACACTATTTCATTTTATAACAAGAACCCTCAAGCTCCTCCTTTCTCGTTGGCCAGCCACCTCTCTCCACAAACAATGAGTAAATAAACACATAGGAATAGGAAAATATGAAAACAAATTCTCCTTTTCACAAATTCTCTTAAGTTAGCAGACTTGGAAGTAACGATCCTTGAATGTTTTGATCACCAAATTCAGGGAGATGTACCTGAATATTATGTTACAGGTTGTAGAAGCTAATATTTGATGATCGTATAATGATCTGTCCATGTAATAAAATTAAGTTAGATCTTGCAGAAGATTGTGCCAGTAATTACCCATAATCTATGTCCTCCTGATGGGTGCCATTTATTTGTTAGGGCTACATGGATCCTGAATATTACATGACACAACAGCTGACTGAGAAGAGTGATGTTTATAGCTTTGGAGTGGTACTGCTGGAGATTGTTACAGGAAAAATTCCTATTGAAAAAGGAAGATATATTGTCAGGGAAGTGAGGACTGCAATGGACAAGACAAAAGACATGTATAACCTTCACGAAATTTTGGATCCTGCTGTTCGCTCAGGTGCAACTCCTAAAAGCATAGAGAAGTTTGTGGATCTTGCAATCAAGTGTGTTGAAGAAGAAGGAGTCAAGCGGCCTACAATGAGTGAAGTGGTGAAAGAGATTGAGTATATTATGGAGATCGTAGGACTGAACCCAAATGCAGAATCAGCTTCCACTTCAGAAACCTATGAAGGAGCAAACAAAGGCCTTCATCCTTATACTGATGAAAGTCTCTTTGTCTATAGTGGGGCATATCCACCTTCAAAGTTAGAGCCCAAGTAAGATCAATGTCTTAACAGGTTTGCCCAAAGTTGAAACATAAGATCACACATGATATGCCATTGCCTGTTAGTTGTGCACAAATTTGAGAGAATGTAGAATGATTCAACTAATTTTGTATATTAAAGAAAAGTGTTCTGGAAGTCCAGCAACGTGACTAGAGATATTGAAATTTTTTGGAAACATTTATTTTTACCTTATGTAAAGTGTGTAAACTTTCCTGGTCTCAATTAGGCTGGTCATTTGTATATGAGAATATATTTCATCCTAAAAAAAGTTGTGCATTCAATATTGCAGCTTTATCTAAGTTTCTTTTACAAAGCTAATTGTGAAATGTTGACATGAGATCAATTTTATATCATTGTCTTTCTGCAGTAATTTGTGCTGATACAAGCAAGACGAATTGATCACTATAGATAATACTATTCCTCTTTCAATTTTCTAATGATTATCTCCTCTTGTATTCTTTCAATTGCATTACAAAAAAAGCACAAAATGAAACTAGCCAGTCAATGTTGGTCACTTGTGCTTGCATTGTGAAACAAAAAACCATCATTTTACGAACTGTCTAAAGATTTACTAGCTAAGTACTTTAGGACATTGGTTTCCCCAACAAAGCAGAGAAATACCACTCATTTTTATCGATCCCTCGATCAAGCTTCATGCCAGCATTCCACCTCAGTTTCTTGAATCCAACGCGCTCCAGCATAGGAACATAAGTTGCATTCAACTGTGTTCCCAGGCAGAAGAAGTGATCCAACCAGAACAGTCCTCCTGGTCTCAGAACTCTGTATATGTCATACATAATTAACTCAAGCATGGTATCCGGGATCCAGTTGCTCAAAATATGCATAGAGTGCACGATATCCAGAGTATTCTGGAAGAAAGGAAGCCTCTGGGACACACCAACGTGCATCGATATCAAGCCCCTGGATGCAATGAAGTTGTTGAATGGACCATCCAAATTCATGGAAGTGGTGACAATGGTTACATTCCTTTCCTTCATCCTAGCAGCAAACGTGCCCACGCCTCCTCCTATATCAAGTCCAATGCGGATTGTGCCCTGACGTCTTGTTGACAGAACCTGATCCATTCCAAAATCAAGACCTCCATTGTCAAACTGCCACCTTGTTTTCTCTCTAAATTGTAAGTCAAAGCAGTCTTTACAATCATAGAATCCTGGAAACTTTCTTCTATCTATCAAACAACTGTAGTTTTTACAAGTATATGGATCCCAAATAATACTTGTATCTGGTGGTGTAGACCACAGGCTTTTTGGCAATGGAGTTGGTTCGACATAACCAGAAGGCGCTTTAGGATGGCAGCGCCTTATTGGAAGTGGCTCACAGCCCTTGAGCATTAGCCTTTGCGCGAAAACATCATCAACAGGACACTCCTTTCCAACATTATATGTCATGTACTGTGCTAAATCTTCTTTATACATCAGACAACCTCCTCCAACAGAGGGATAAACCTCATCTGTCCCTGATCTTGGCGAGAGCCCGAGTGGAAGCTTGTGAGGGCCTAAACCAAGCTTAGCTTCATTTGACAAATCATCAAGAAGATCATTGAAGTTTAGCAAGCTGGAATCCGTGGTCCTGTTTATGGACTGGTTAAGGAGGTTAAGTTGAGCTAGAAGTTCAGTGACAAGTTGGTTAGTAGACTTGAGCTGCTGATGCAAAACTATGATTTGGGATCGACTCGTTTCGAGTTCTTTCTTAGTGGCATTGAGCTCTTGCAAGAGGGAAGTAGAATCAAATGCAGGGAAAAGAGAATTAGTTGTGTACTTGGAAATGGGATGCAAGTTGAGAGAAGGGCTAGTGAAGATGTAAATAGTAAGAAGATTGGTTAGGATAATGAGGACTAGTAATTTGAGCTTGTACTTGGTTTGATCATTAATACTCTTATGTGTTTGCTTTTTAGGCAAATGGTCATCATCTGCACTTCCCATTTTCTCTCGATATATTTACTAGTCTTTCCTTTATCAAAGATTTGTGTTTTTAGAGGAAAGTAAAGTGACTGGTGATAATGTTTTGGGGGAATGAAGTGAAGGGAATGGAATATAATGGAAGTAGAAGGTGAAGAATTTGATTAGTACTTAAAGCGAGGCATGCTTCAATGTTTTGGGATGCTCTTGTAGTACAAGAAAGTATTTGTTTTTGTTTATTTCTGCTGTTATTTTATTGAAGACTAAAACTCAGATTTCACTTTGACGATCTGTGCAATTAAAGGACGTTGTTCATTGTAATACGCCGTTTTAGACGTTCGAGAATGACTTTTGTATTGCTATTTAAATTAGTCGGTTCCCTGGGAAAAAAATAGTCCTTGGAAACAAAGATCTGATATGGGATACAATGGATTTAATATAGGTCAAAAGTTTTTTACACTTGTTAATTATTTAACATGCTATGTAGGTAACTTACTGGAGTCTTTGTCTTTTTTGTTCTTTGTTATGGTTGCTCCTTTTCGAAAAAATATATCATATATAACAATTTTCTTTGTTTATTCAAAAAATGATAAAATTTCTTAAAATATTACTATATATTTATATTTTTTCCCTACCCAAAAGACTAATCTAGTAGGTGGGAGAGTCCATTTAGCTATAAACTCCTTAGTATTTTTCTTTTTAACTGATGAGTGACAATTAGGGGCATAACAATTGCGCCCCGCTTGAGGACCAATGACCTTGTTGGTTACGACTATTGGGTCTAGACCATCACTCCGAGTAGTGGTCTCAAGCGTCGATGGACCTACTCTGAAGTATAAAGAGATTGAAGTATAAAGAGATATCAATGTATTCCATTGAAGTAAAATAAATTCTACTTACAGAGATTGTTTAACGAATCTGAGTTGTAGATTATGTATTATAATAAGTTATGTATTTGTTAATAAATCTGTCTGAAAATCGGGCGAAGATTGAAGCAGCACCCACCGACGGCGACGTCATCATAAAATCAACCATTTTCTTCTTCCATCTCAAAAATCAACCATTTTCTTCTAGGAAGTAATTCTAGGGCTCAGTACTCTTAAAACCCATAATTTTTCGCTACCCATTTTCCATATCAATCAATGGCGACTCAGTCATTTACCGAAAAATCCCACCGTTATTAATTCACAATAATCGCCGCCGAATTCCAATAATATAACCTCCCAATCAGATCCATCTCCGGCATCGTCGATCCAGCCTTACTCCGCCATACCTCCGTCGTTTCTTCCTGCGACGCCGCCAGCACTGGTAGTGAGTGAGAGAGATATTTCGGAGAAATATTTTGAGGCGTGTTGATGAAGGAAACGGGCCGGCCCTCTTTGTCAATTTATACGGGTCTAACTTATTTATTTAGTGGGCAAACGGGTCACGGGTCACGGGTGGGAAAAATGTGATGTAATGGGGTCTGTAGGGTTTAATTTGGTGGGGTCGAGTGACTTGGCAGCTGACATGGAAAAAATTGAGGGGGTCTGTAGGGCAATTTTTAAAAGTTGATTAATGACAGGGGCTAGATTGGATGAATAGTATAACGGGTGTCAGAAGTAAACAATATAGTATAGTAGAGGGGCAATTTTGAACATTTTCCCTTATTTATATTATAAACAAAATTTGAAATAACTTAACTGTGTGTTTCTATTTGTTAACTTACTAATAAATAAAGATTTTTACCGAGTAGATCACTTGTCTAGAATTATTCACATAAATAATACTACTTTTCGTTTATTTTAAAAATAGCAGTTTTTTTTTTTTTTTACAGTTTTAGATATCTCAAAGATTATGCATTAAATGACAACAGATTAAAAAAATTTACAAACCCACAAATTAAGGAATTAGTATTTAAGTCCGTATTAATCTTTACACTTTCTCCCTCATCTTAGAGAAATATTCTTCTCTCCGAAACTTTCCACTGTTTTTTCTTAGCCATTGACTCGACAACTTTCTTTCACTCAATCTTCACATAGGATTTGCTCAATTGTTTTTAGCAATATTGTAAATAACTTAGATAAAAACATAAACTCTCATATTATTATCCAGGTATTACGTTCTGCAATTATAACACTTGCAAATAAACTACATAACAAAATACATCTGAAATATCAAGATTTCGTTATTATACAATAATTATATCATATTTTATATCTGGGAATAACTTATATGATAACACATATGAAAGTACTCATGATACAATACCATTATTATACAAGTATTATTCCATGTATCATACTTAAATTAATCCATGAATCATTAAATACTACTATGATACTAGAATTATACCATATATAATACCTGCAAATAACTTACATAAAAAAATACATCTAAAGCACTGAATATAATTATTATACCAGTATCAAACTATATATACCATCTCCAAATGACATACATAAAAATACATGAAATATCAATATACCATTTTTAACAAGCAGCGATAACACTTTTTTCTGTGTGTTCTAATTGTAGAATACAAGGAATATGTTGAATATAATGAATAGGGACTTGGGAGCATTTCTATTTCAGTTATAGAAATTAATATCTTAGAACGAAAATATAGGAAGTGAATCATTTGCGATTGTATTCACGTGATTCTCGGCTGAATTGCTTTGCTCTATTAGAATCTTTTATGATATGTTAATATTTCATTGCCAAAAATATTAATTGATGAATCCTGCTAAGACTTTGTAAAATTTTTGTAAATACTGCACTATTATGTTTTTTCCCCATAAAAGTTTTCATTAATCCTAAACGATTTGAGAAAAAGATCAGTTCTCACACTTTGACTTTTGATTCCAAAATATTTTAACATGTTGGCAGGCTTTGGCTCCCCAAACGCTTGCAGTCAACTCTTTCGAAGGTGTAAAGTACGTAGGGGTAGAAAATCACTTGGCAAAATCTATAGTAACTTTAAATATCTTTCCACTAGTTGGAAAGTTACAGGAACCATTTCTCTAAATTCAATAAGTTATTCTAAAACCTTCTTTTTAATTAAAATAGTCTCGTTTAAATTTTTTTTCTCTCTAATCTTTCCGATGACGGTTAGAAAAACTTTAGTAAAATGTAAAATTTTCGTGGATCTATCATTTTAAATGGGTCCAAAGAATCCTTCTCGCTACAATTCCAGTCTCCATTATAAATTTCCTTCAGAAGATGCGAAAACATCAAACGGTTCAATCAAGCCTTGGGTGCATAGCCATAGCATCAAAGAATTGAAATGTTTCACATACTTAATTTATTTATTTTTGGGTAATTAAAGACATTTATTACCAGGGAAAATTATGTACATACAAAACAAATTAAAACCTAATAGTTGGACAGGACTCCAACAATTGTACAGAATATATAACAAACTTTAATGGAGTATTAAACTTTACTAACTGCTGAAGTTCTTTTTTCTATTTTCTTTTTTAGTTTTTCCTTTCCATCTCACCAATATATCCAACTAGGGCAACGTCAAATCATCAATAGGTCATTAAGGATGATTAAGAACATCGGAGTCAGCACGTCTTCTGCTATTTATTGGGTTTACTGTACATTATTGGGTGTATTTATTGGGTTTTTATTTTAATTTTCTGCCAGAGAGACTGGTTTCATGACTATAAATTGTGATATGAGCAAAAAGAAAAAAAGAAAAAAAAGGAAAAAATACTTTGATAGTATATTTTTCTCAATAATTTGCTTCCAAAATAGCAATAGCATACCTTCTGAAAATCAAATATATTTTTCTTAGATAACACTCCTTGCCAAATTTCCTTCCTTGTGTTTGGACAACCAATATTAATTAGACTGACTGACCAGTGACCACACCTCATTAAGAGCAAGATGCCTGAGTCAACAAGAATGGACCCCTCGCTATGGGTGATCACATAATAAAAAGAACATATTTTGACTTAATCACTTGCAACGAAACTAGCTGGCGGCTATAGAGACCAAAGTTCTACGTTCCCTCCGTGGACACCAAATTTAACTTTTTTGTGGTTTTGTTTTATTGGACACAGAAGAAACGAAAAAATTTGAAATTTGTAAGTTATACACATTGGAGACAATATAAATTATTTCATTAAGGATTAAATATATAAGGGTAAAGTATTTTGTTTTGGGATGGACTATTTCATCTAAGTAGAACAAAGTCGTTCGATCAAGTAGTTAAGTACAGGTTCTATGGGGTCCAACACTAGGTGTAACATTACAACATTAGTAGAGTTACACCTTTACATAGATCGAGGGAACTGTTTTTAGACCGTAGCAGGGTTTATCTTATTGTTCAGAATGAGTTGGCATAGGTTTTGTCTCTGAGAGAAGACTAGAGTCAAGTCTTCTACGTATAGAGATAGATATTATCTTCTTGCTGTTTAGAGTCCTCAACCACTTGTGGTTTGATCTTCTTCCCATTTCTTTTCAAAACCTTATTCTTTCTTAATTTGACCCCTTGAAGAAGAAGAAGAAGAAGAAGAAGAAGAAGAAGAAGAAGAAGAAGAAGAAGAAGAAGAAGAAGAAGAAGAAGAAGAAGAAGAAGAAGAAGAAGAAAGCTTAATTAGCTTGCATGGTGGTGGTTAATTCCTTAATTTGAACAATATATATATATAATGGTCCAAACAAGAAGAATCCAACTGATCTCTTGGTTGCTTATTTTTATGCAAGTTTTGGGGCTGGATGCACTGACCAATTCTGGTGACTGTAAGTCTTATTTAATCCATCTATATATTTTTGTACTAGTAGTTGAGCTTTTCAATTAAAAATTTAGCTTATATGTACCGACTCTGTACAGAATTTTAAACTATCAGCGTTACTTAATTTGTTGTCTACATTATTTTCTTAGTTACTAATTACTCGTACTTATTTTGGCAGTTAGTTATTATAGTTACTTGTAAATGACCTTATAGCCTCACGGAGAAGCAAAATGTTTTCCAGCTTTGCTTCCACTCACGAGTATGTCTAAAATCATGTATAGATGTACATGCTCCAAATCATATGATAATATCAGGGATTCGAGCTGTGGAAGCCGCCACTAGTACTTGCATTAGAATAATATCACACTTATTAGGATGCGACTCTTACTGGACATGCGGGCTACTTTATGCGTTAGGCTGCCTTTTATAAGAGTCATGAAATTGAGTTCTCAAATAATGATTGTATAGCTCAAAGCCCTTCTCCACTTTGCTATCTCTCTTAGTTTTAAAAATTGTTCTATTTGATTATAGAAGTTTGTGAGTACCTAGTCTTCCAAATATGATTTTTTTTTTTTAAAGAAAATTTATAAAATCATATCTGAATGGTGACGAAAAATTAGATAATTTGACAATTGATGCAGATGGCGTTCTGGAGTCACTTAGGGAAGAATGGGAGAACGTACCTCCAAATTGGAGTGGTACAGATCCTTGTGGGGATCCATGGGATGGCATCGAGTGCAACAATTCACGTGTTGTTACTATGTAAGTTTCTTCTTCTTCTTTTTTTCTTTTTTTTTTGGTGATTAAATGAGGATCATATTATTTGAAAGTTTTTTTTTAAACTCTTTAAGATATTCTTATATTTTGGAATAAAATATTGAAATTAAGAAATGAAAACACAGGTGCACTTACATATGCTCTTTTACTTATCGCTCCAATATTTAGTCAAGAGTTCATTTTTCCTTAGCTCAACAATGTCACATGCTAATTTAATGTGCATCCTACCTCATATTGTGCCAGCTAATTCTAATAATTCCTTTTCGCATTAAATTTACTAGAATAAATAACAGAATTATTTTTGAAATCAGAAAATTTGAGACAATTATATAACTGGTATTGTATTTGCTATTCCATTTGACGCATATCCAACGTAAATAGTTTACTTCTCTTTGCGACTTGAGGCTCTCCAATATATTAAATTTAAGTTAGAGGTACTAATAATTCTGAAATTTCAGAAAATTATCAAGCATGAATCTGAAAGGGGAGCTATCTGGAGACATCGAGGCCTTGTCTGAATTGCAGATACTGTATGTCTTCTTCTCTACTCATATTTGAGAGTCCTTGCCGCATTAGTCATATTAGTTCATTAAAATTTAAGAATCATCTGAACCTTCACTTGGTACTAACTAAATAAGTGGTAAAAACCAACTTTTTACGGATCAATTTAGTTATAATTCCTCGTTTCCTTTTCCCCGAGTTACAAGTGCTCTAATAATTTAGTGAGAAATTTGAAATGTTCGTCTCAATTTTTTTGACACTCTTTGCTTATTGATAGTTAGCTTAACCAAATTTTTGAGGTTAAATCAGACTAATCTAAATACTTGAAAATTACAAAAAGAGAGTATTGGGATTGAGTACAAAGCTTAAGAAAGACGGAAAGATTTTTGAAACTTGTAGTCTGAAATAAGCCATGTATATTATCTGTGGCTATGAATCATCTCACTAAGAGTAAAATGAGAAGTTTGAAGTTAAATTATTTCTATATATAAAAAGGTATCAGTTTTTTTGGAATTGCCTTAAAAGGAAAGTTCATTACATAAATTGGGACAAAGAAAGTATTATATATACATTGCTATTTTTGCATGCATAGAAATATTGTTGCCTGTTGAAAGCTTTTAGATTCTGTTCTAATTATCTGCTTCCTTTTATAGGGATCTATCATACAACAAAGACTTGACAGGTTCACTCCCTCAATCAATCGGAAGTTTGAAGAGTTTATCAATTCTGTAAGGGAATTACATGATAATATAAAAAAATGTTAATTCACCAACTGATTTCTGTGTTTCATATTTTTAGAGAGTAATTGATCTTAGCTGCGTCGCAGGATCCTTGTAGGTTGTAGATTTTCTGGACTGATACCGGACACAGTTGGATCCCTTAGTCAGCTGGTTTTTCTGTAAGGATATCAAGTTTGTTCTATTTATAATGTTTATTTATAAGGATATCAAGTTTGTTCTATTTATAATGTTTGTTCTATCAAGTTTGTTCTATTTATATGGAATGTATCCTGTGTAAGTCTTATTTATATGACTTGCTTGAATTTGAAAAAATAAAAAATAAAGCTGGTAAATTGACATCCACATTCCCACCGGTATAAAGATGGGTCCAAAAACTATGTCAGAGTTGATCACATGGTTTGGATTGTTTTGTTCCCACAAATTGATCATTTGAGTGATCTTCATGGCATGCATTAACTTGCTTATTACAAATGTGTATAAGCTCAATGCTTAATGAATTCAAGATATTGAGATTATGCAGAATATGCTGACATTTTAGTACAAGGAAGAATCTATAATATCACATCCGCCGCCTAAATTGAGTTTTGGATGCTAACAATTTAGTAATCTCCTCTACATTGTCATTTCTGGTGGTATCAAGGGCGAGTTCATGTACTTTTGCTACTGACCATAGTTCTGTTACCCTGGTTGTACATGATGAAGTGAATTATCCATCAGCCTTTTCACAGATTTATATATACGTCAGAAGAAAATATAAAATTCTTCTAATATAAAAATATAAAATATCCATCAGCATTCATATAGCCGACACCAACTTATTTGTTACAGTTATTGTTGTTGTTGTAATTCTTGTATCCCTTTGCATAGTCAATCTATGCAGTCTTAGACATGTAGTACTCTAAGTAGATTAACATGCTCTCTAAATCTTTTCCTGTTGCTTTTTCTGGGCTACATCTCTAAAACACTAATCTGAAACATGCAGATCTTTGAATCTTAACAACTTTGTTGGACCAATACCAGCTTCTATTGGTAATTTATCAAAGCTATATTGGCTGGACTTAGCTGATAATAGGCTGAGTGGACCTCTTCCAGTCTCCCATGGAAGCACACCTGGTCTGGACATGCTTGTTCATACAAAGCATTTGTGAGTAATACTGTCTGTTTCTTAAGTAATAACTTGGTCTGTCATTTTCATCTGACATACCACTTACCTCGCAGTCACCTGGGGAGAAATCAGCTCTCAGGTGAGATTCCAGCTCAGCTATTCAGCTCAAATATGACTCTCAAACATTTGTAAGCTCCTCTGAACTGAAAGTGTATATATTTTGAAAATTATTTGATCGATTAACAATAGTGTAGCTGTGGGGTCCATCCCCATAAATGAAAGGGAAGAAAAAATGTCAAATATGATACGCTAACGCTACAGGATTTGCAAATCTGTAGACCATAAATAAAAGAGAAGAAAAAATGTCAAATATGGTAGGCTATGGGATTTGCAAATCTGCAGAAGAAAAATGTCAAATATAGTAGGCGTGAGAGAGTGAGGCTCCGCCTATAAAAGGAGAGCTTCAGCTCTCATTTTTACACACCAACAAAGAAAAAAAAAAAGAGGTTTCACACACAGGGTATAAGAAAACAGTCTGTGAAAAAAATATAGAGCGAGCGATATTGTAATGAGGTGGAATATCAAAACAGAGTTATTTCTTTTGAGTATTGTAGTGGTCTTTGGAGTATTTTACTCGAACCTACAAAGTGCAAAATTCCTTGCTATAGTAATATCAGTTTCTCGTCTCGGGGCCGTGGTTTTTTCCCTTATTCAAAAGGGTTTTTCACGTAAAGATCTTGGTGTCGTTGTTACTCTTTTATTCATATTAATTACTGTATCTCGGTGCTACGTTATTATTTCGCTTTTATTACCGTGAATATTATTTTTGTAGGGGGTTTATTCCCAACAATTGGTACCAGACCACAGGTTCTGCTCGTTCACAGAAATACTGTTCACTCTCGGTAGTACTATACTCGGTGAAAAATAAAAATGTCCAGAGTAAAGTACGAGGTAGTAAAATTTAACGGTGATAGTGATTTTTCAACATGGCAAAGAAGGATGCGGGATCTGCCCATCCAACAAGGATTACACAAGGTATTAGATGATGATGCCAAAAAACCTGATACCATAAAAGCTGAGGATTAGGCTGACTTGGATGAAAGGACTGCTAGTACAATCAGGTTGCACTTATCAGATGATGTGGTAAATAACATCATTGATGAAGATACCGCACGTGATATTTGGACAAGGTTGGAAAGCCTATACATGTCCAAAACGCTCACAAATAAATTGTACCTAAAGAAGCAGCTATACGCCCTACACAACCATCCTGCACGGTAAGACTACCATTGAGTTGAAAGACGCCACATCTACTCTTCTACTCAATGAGAAGATGAGAAAGAAGCCTGCAAATCAAGGACATGCTCTCATCACACAAGGTAGAGGCAGGAGTTATCAAAGGAGTTCGAGCAACTATGGTGGATCTGGAGCTCGTGGGAAGTCTAAGAACTGATCCAAATCAAGAGCCATAAATTACTACAATTGTGATCAACCAGGTCAATTCAAAAGATATTGTCTAAATCCAAGGAAGGGCAAAGGTGAAACTAGTGGCCAGAAGAATGACGACAACATAGCCGCCATAGTACAAAATAATGATAATGTTGTCCTCTTTATAAATGAGGATGAGGAATGTATGCACTTGTGAGGTCCATAGTCGGAATGGGTGGTTGATACATCAACATCTTACCATGCCACACTGGTAAGAGATCTTTTTTATAGATATATAGCAGGTGATTTCGGCACTGTGAGAATAGGTAACACACGTTACTCAAAGATTGCGGGGATCGGTGACATTTGTATCAAGACAAATATCGGATGCACATTGGTTCTAAAGGACGCGCGACATGTACTTGATTTGCGGATGAACTTGATCTCGGGAATTGCTTTAGACCAAGATGGATACAAGAACTATTTTGCAAATCAAAAGTGGAGACTTACCCAGAGATCATTGGTGATTGCAAAGGGAGTTGCTCGTTGCACTTTGTACAGGACAAATGCAGAAATATGCCAAGGAAAATTGAACGCGGCACAAGATAAGATTTCTGCAGATTTGTGGCACAAAAGAATGGGTTATATGAGCGAGAAGGGATTGCAGATTTTTGCCAGGAAATCACTCATTTCTTATACCAAAGGTACAACGGTAAAACCTTGTGACTTCTGTTTATTTGGTAAGCAACAGAGAGTCTCATTTCAGACATCGTCTGAAAGAAAATTAAATATGCTTGATTTAGTATATTATGATGTTTGTGGTCCAATGGAAATTGAATCGATGGGCGGTAACAAATATTTTGTTACTTTTATTGATGACGTTTCACGAAAATTATGGGTTTATCTTTTGAAAATCAAAGATCGGATGTTTCAAGTTTTCGAGAATTTTCATGCTCTGGTGGAAAGGGAGTCAGGCCAAAAGCTAAAGCGTCTCCGAAGTGACAATGGAGGTGAGTAAACTTCAAGGAAATTTGAAGAATACTGTTCGATCCATATGATCAAACATGAAAAGACAGTTCCTGGAATCCCACAACACAATGGCGTAGCCGAAAGGATGAACTGCACCATTGTGGAGAAGGTGAGAAGCATGCTCAGAATGGCTAAACTGCCTAAATCATTCTGGGGTGAAGCAGTTCAGACAACCTGTTACCTGATTAATAGGAGTCCATCAGTTCTGTTGGACTTTGACATCCCAAATAGAGCTTGGATCAACAAGGAGGTGTCCTACTCGCATCTGAAGGTGTTCGGTTGCAGAGCTTTTGCACATATACCAAAGGAGCTAGAACAAAGCTGGATGATAAATATGTTCCCTGCATATTCATCGGATATGGAGATGAAGAGTTCGGATACAGATTGTGGGATCCTATAAAGAAGAAGGTCAACACAAGTAGAGATGTAGTCTTCCGAGCAAGTGAAGTTGGAACTGCTGATGATATGCTAGAGAAGGCCAAAAATGGTATAATTCCTAACCTTGTTACTATTCCATCTACTTCTAACAATCCTACAAGTGTAGAAAGTAGGACTGACGAGGTTGTCGCGCAGGGGGAGCAACCTGATGAGGTTATTGAGCAGGAAGAGCAACTTGATTATGGTGTCGAGCAAGTGGAGCACCCCACTCAGGAAGGAGAACAACCTCAACCTTTGAGGAGATCAGAGAGGCTAAGGGTAGAGTCATGTAGGTACCCTTACACAGAGTATGTCCTCATCAGTGATGAAGGGGAGCCAGAAAGTCTTAAGGAGGTATTGTCTCATCCAGAAAAGAACCAGTGGATGAAAGCCATGCAAGAAGAGATGGAATCTCTACAGAAAATTGGCACGTACAAGCTGGTTGAACTTCCAAAGGGTAAAAGATCACTCAAATGCAAATGGGTCTTTAAACTCAAGAAAGATGAAAATGGAAAGTTGGCCAGATACAAAGCTCGATTGGTGGTTAAAGGCTTCGAACAGAAGAAAGGTATTGATTTTGACGAAATTTTCTCACCTGTTGTCAAAAATACTTCTATTCGAATAATTTTGAGCTTAGGAGCTAGCCTAGTTCTTGAAGTGGAGCAGCTGGATGTGAAAACTGCATTTCTTCATGGAGATTTGGAAGAGGAGATTTATATGGAGTAGCCAGAAGGATTTGAAGTAGCTGGAAAGAAACACATGGTGTACAAATTAAAAAAGAGTCTTTTTGGATTGAAGCAGGCACCAAGGCAGTGGTACATGAAATTTGACTCATTCATGAAAATTCAAACATATATAAAGACCTATTCTGATCCATGTGTATACTTCAAAAGATTTTCTCAAAATAACTTTATTATATTGTTATTGTATGTGGATGACATGTTAATTGTAGGAAAAAATAAGGGGTTGATCGCAAAGTTGAAGGGAGATTTGTCCAAGTCATTTTATATGAAGGACTTAGGCCCAGCACAACAAATTCTGGGAATGAAGAATGTTCGAGAGCGAACAAGCAGAAAGTTATGGCTGTCTCAAGAAAAATACATTGAACGTGTACTGGAACGCTTCAACATGAAGAAAGCTAAGCCAGTCTGCACACCTCTTGCTAGTCATCTGAAGTTAAGCAAGAAGATGTGTCCTACAACAATGGAGAAAAAGGATAACATGACTAAAGTTTCTTATTCCTCTGTCGTCGGAAGTTTGATGTATTCAATTATATGAACTAGACCTGATATTGCTCACGCAGTTAGTGTTGTCAGCAGGTTTCTTGAAAATCCTGAAAAAGAACACTGGAAAACAGTCAAGTGGATACTGAGGTACCTGAGAGGTACTTCAGGAGATTTTTTGTGCTTTAAAGGATCTGATCCAATCTTGAAGGGTTATGTAGATGCTGATATGGCAGGTGACATTGATAACAGAAAAATTTACTATGTGATATTTGTTTACATTTTCAGGGGGGAGCTATATCATGGCAGTCAAGGTTGCAGAAGTGTGTCGCACTCTCTACCACTGAAGCCAAGTATATTACCGCTACTGAAGCTAGCAAGGAGATAGTATGGTTGAAACGGTTCCGTCAAGAGCTTGGATTGCATCAGAAGGAGTATATCGTTTATTGTGACAGTCAAAGAGCAATAGATCTTAGCAAGAACTTCATGTACCATGCAATGACCAAACACATTGACGTGAGATATCACTGAATTCGAAAAATGGTAGAGAATGAATCTTAAAATCTTGAAGATTTCTACAAGTGAGAATCCCACAGATATACTGACCAAGGTGGTATCAAGAGATAAGTTCGAATTTTGCAAAGAACTTATCGGCATGCACTCAAGCTAGAAGTACGGTGTTACCTCCTTCAGGTGAATAGGTCTGGAGAGAGAGATTTGTGGGGTTCATCCCCATAAATGAAAGGGAAGAAAAAATGCCAAATATGGTAGGTTATGGGATTTGCAAATCTACAGACCATAAATGAAAGAGAAGAAAAAATTTCAAAAATGGCAGGCTATGGGATTTGCAAATCTGCAGAAGAAAAATGTCAAATATAGTAGGCGTAAGAGAGTGAGGCTTCACGTATAAAAGGAGAGCTTCAGCTCTCATTTTTACACACCAACAAAGAAAAAGAAAGAGTGGGGTTTCATAGACAGGGTATAAGAAAATAGTGTGTGAGAAAAATAGAGAGTGAGCGATATTATAGTGTGGTGGGAATATCAAAAGAGGGTTATTTCTTTTGAGTATTGTAGTGGTCTTTGGAGTATTATACTCGGACCTACAAAGTGTAAAATTCCTTGCTATAGTGATATCAGTTGCTCATTTCGGGGCCGTGATTTTTTTTCCTTATTCAAAAGGGGTTTCCACGTAAAAATCTTGGTATCTTTGTCACTCTTTTATTCTTGTTAATTACCGTATCTCGGTGCTACTTTATTATTTCACTTTTATTATCGTGAATATTATTTTTGTAGGGGGTTTATTCCCAACAGTAGTCACGCATGTGTTGACTGATAAAGTTATGTTTGAACCTTCTCGTTGACCAATTTTATTTTTATTTTTTCTTAGAAAAGGCTTGTGGATAGAGAGTATGCATTTGTCTTTTGTATCTGGTGAAATAGCATAGATATGTCCCCGGCGCTTGAGACAGATTTCCCCCTCCCTGAAATTAGAAAAGGTACAATAATTTTTCAGAGTTCCACATTATTCAAATGTACAGGTTATTGTATAGTTTTAGACAATTCCCATCTCTTGAGCTATCTATGAAGTTGAATTAGGTCCAACATCCATTTTCCTTTCATTGTATCAGAATCAGACTCATCTTTATTGTTGTGTTACCCAGTATTGGGCTCCTATATTATGGTATAAATGCTCAAAATATCCGGACATGGTCATGCCGGAGGAGGGGGTAATTAAAGTCTCGCATTGATCTATAAATGGAAAATATTGTATCGATTCTAAATTCATGGTGGAAAAATCTTTCTCAGTAATAGGTGAGGTCTAATAACTTATCATTCATCATTACTAAAGGCAAGCAAAATCTTAATCTAATGTAAACACAAGTTATCATGTATTGTCTAAAATGTGATAATGTTTAAATACTTACATATTCTTGTTTTGGAGTGCTTGCACCAATCAAGCCTATAAGATATACTTGATGGGTTCATCTCATTCAAAAGCCAAAGTAATAGGCATGTACCTAAGGAAAATATTTTGCTGAGAATTTCTTTAGTTTAGTAGCCAACTTTATTGAATTTCTTTGGTTTGGTAGCCAACTTTGTTGAATTTTTTTAGTTTGGTAGCCAACTTTGTGGAATTGTCAACATTGAAGAAAAAAAGGAAAAGTGTATGCAAATTGTCAAATATAGTAGGCTTTAGAGAGTGAGGCTTCGGCTATAAAAGGAGAGCTTCAACTCTCATTTCTACACACCAACAAAGAGAGAGAAAAAAAGTGAGGTTTTACAGACAGAGTATAAGAAAATAGTGTGTGAGAAAAATAGAGAGTGAGCAATATTGTAGTGAGGTAAAAATATCAAGAGAGGGTTATTTCTTTTGAGTGTTGTAGTAGTCTTTGGAGTATTTTACTCGGACCTACAAAGTGTAAAATTTCTTGCATTAGTAATATCAGGTGCTCGTCTCGGGGCCGTAATTTTTTCCCTTATTCAAAAGGGTTTTCCACGTAAAGATCTTGGTGTCGTTGTCACTCTTTTATTCATGTTAATTACCGTATCTCGGTGCTACGTTATTATTTCATTTTTATTACCGTGAATATTATTTTTGTAGGGGATTTATTCCCAACAATTGGTACTGGACCATAGGTTCTGCTCATTCACAGAAATACTGTTCACTCTCGGTAGTACTATACTCGGTGAAAAATAAAAATGTTCGAAGTAAAGTACGAGGTAGTAAAATTTAACGGAGATAGTAGTTTCTTAACATGGCAAAGAAGGATGCGGGATCTGCCCATCCAACAAGGATTACACAAGGTATTAGATGATGATGCCAAAAAGCCTGATACCATAAAAGCTGAGGATTGTGCTGACTTGGATGAAAGGGCTGCTAGTGCAATCAGGTTGCACTTATCAGATGATGTGGTAAATAACATCATTGATGAAGACACCGCACGTGGCATTTGGACAAGGTTAGAAAGCCTATACATGTCCAAAACGCTCACAAATAAATTATACTTGAAGAAGAAGCTATACGCCCTACACAACCATCCTGCACGGTAAGACTACCATTGAGTTGAAAGACGTCACATCTTCTCTTCTACTCAATGAGAAGATGAGAAAGAAGCCTGCAAATCAAGGACATGCTCTCATCACAAAAGGTAGAGGCATGAGTTATCAAAGGAGTTCGAGCAACTATGGTAGATCTGGAGCTCGTGGGATGTCTAAGAACCGATCCAAATCAAGAGCCATAAATTACTACAATTGTGATCAACCAGGTCAATTCAAAAGAGATTGTCTAAATCCAAGGAAGGGCAAAGGTGAAACTAGTGGCCAGAAGAATGAAGACAACATAGCCGCCATGGTACAAAATAATGATAATGTTGTCCTCTTTATAAATGAGTACGAGAAATGCATGCACTTGTGAGGTCCATAGTCGGAATGGGTGGTTGATACATCAACATCTTACCATGCCACACTAGTAAGAGATCTTTTTTGTAGATATGTAGCAGGTGATTTCGGCACTGTGAGAATAGGTAACACACGTTACTCAAAGATTGCGGGGATTAGTGACATTTGTATCAAGACAAATATCGGATGCACATTGGTTCTAAAGAATGTGCGACATGTACTTGATTTGCGGATGAACTTGATCTCGGGAATTGCTTTAGACCGAGATGGATACGAGAACTATTTTGCAAATCAAAAGTGGAGACTCACCAAGGGATCATTGGTGATTGCAAAGAGAGTTGCTCGTGGCACTTTGTACGGGAAAAATGCAGAAATATGCCAAGAAAAATTGAACGCGGCACAAGATAAGATTTCTGCAGATTTGTGGCACAAAAGAATGGGTTATATGGGCAAGAAGGGATTGCAGATTTTTGCCAGGAAATCACTCATTTCTTATACCAAAGGTACAACGGTAAAACCTTGTGACTACTGTTTATTTGGACAGAAGGGTTACCTTGGGATCAACTACACTATAGTAAAATTCCTTACTATAGTGATATCAGTTGCTTGTCTCGGAGCCGTGGTTTTTCCCTTATTCAAAAAGGATTTTTCACGTAAAAATCTTGATGTCGTTGTCACTCTTTTATTCTCGTTAATTACCGTATCTCGGTGCTACGTTATTATTACGCTTTTATTACTGTGAATATTATTTCTGTAGGGGTTTATTCCCAACAACTGGTATCAGAGCACAAGTTCTACTTGTTCACAGTAGTATTATTCACTATCGGTAGTACTATACTTGGTAAAAAAAAATATTCCGAGTAAAGTACGATGTAGCAAAATTCAACAGAGATAACGATTTCTCAACATGGCAAAGAAGGATGAGGAATCTGCTCATCCAACAAGGATTTCACAAGGTACAAGATGCTGATGCCAAAAAGCCTGATACCATAAAAGCTGAGGATTAAGGTGACTTGGATGAAAGGTCTGCTAGTGCAATCAGATTGCACTTATCAGATGATGTGGTAAATAACATCATTGATGAAGACACCGCACGTGGCATTTGGACAAGGTTGGAAAGCCTATACATGTCCAAAACGGTGACAAATAAATTGTACCTGAAGAAGCAGCTATACGCCCTACACATGGGTGAATGTACGAATTTTTTGTCACGTTTAAATGTATTTAACGGACTAATCACACAGTCCGCCAACCTCGGAGTGAAAATCGAGGAAGAAGATAAAGCCATCTTGCTATTGAACTCGTTGCCATCTTCGTACGATAATTTGGCCACAACCATCCTGCATAGTAAGATTACCATTGAGTTGAAAGATGTCACATCGGCTCTTCTACTCAATGAGAAGATGAGAAAGAAGCCTTAAAATCAAGGACAGGCTCTCATCACAGAAGGTAGAGGCAGGAGTTATCAAAGGAGTTCGTGTAACTATGGTAGATCCGAAGCTCGTGGGAGTCTAAGAACAGTTCCAAATCAAGAGCTAGAAATTGCTACAATTGTGATCAACCAGGTCACTTCAAACGAGATTGCCCAAATCCCAAAAAGGGCAAAGGTGAAACTAGTGGCCGGAAGAATGACGACAACACAGTCGCCATGGTGCAAAACAATGATAATGTTGTCCTCTTTATAAACAAGGAAGAAGAATGCATACACTTATCAGGTCTGCAGTAGGAATGGGTGGTTGATACAGCAACATCTTACCATGCCACACCAGTAAGAGATCATTTTTGCAGATATGTAGCAGATGATTTCGGCACTGTGAGAATGGGAAACACAAGTTACTCAAAGATTACGGGGATTAGTGACATTTATATCAAGAAAAATGTCGGATTCACATTAGTTCTAAAGGACGTGCGGCATGTACCTAATTTGCGGATGAATTTGATCTCGAAAATTGCTTTAGACCGAGATGGATACGAAAACTATTTTGCAAATCAAATGTCACGACCCAATTTCACCTATAGGTCGTGATGACGCCAAACATCATAGCTAGGCAAGCCAACTAGTGATTTAAACATATATTTCCTCTTACAATAAATTTTCGAGTAATTAAACTCTTCCGAAAAAATAATTTTGCCACGCTGGATTGCTTAGGTGGATGGCCATATAAGCAAATCTAACCTAGTTAGACTGTCATGTCACCTTCAATGGCAAGACTAACGGTTTAAGGGTATTTGTGGTCCAAAACATAGACGTCATAGATATTTTTGGTACCAAAAACAAACGGAAGACATTTTTGAGCTATTTCAAATAGTTCAAAGGCATTTTTGGCCCTTTTACGTTTTTGGATTTCATTTTTCGTAAAGCTTTGTGAATACTTCAACAGCTATCTTAAACTTGTAACCCCCTTCGCCTAATTTTATAAAAAATCGATTGTCTTCCATATACATTATTGTCCCAGCCCTATGCTACGGTGCTAGCTAGCTCTGACACTTGTAGCAAACTACTTCCGTTTGGCTAATGATTTCTTCTGTTTGTGTTTGGTAATTTCACAGGCTGCTTGAGAATAACCAGCTTACTGGAAAAATTCCCCCTACATTAGGACTTGTGAAGACTCTGGAGGTGGTGTGAGTATTTCCAGAATCCAGCACGCTCTTAAAGAATTTTAATAAATGTGCCATCTTTCTTGCTTTTCATTACTTGGGAAAATTTATTAACTGGATATCCATGTGCGCTGTAGTCGTCTTGACAGGAATTCATTAGATGGATCGATTCCATCAACCCTCAATAATCTCATGCGTATGAGTGCACTGTGAGTAGACAAGTGACATGCTAATACAACTTTGGTATGATCTCCTTTTTTATGAGTGTATCAGACCCCCTATAAATTTTCCATATCACTTGCAGCTTCTTATCAAACAATGAATTCACTGGCCCCTTGCCTGATCTCACTGGCATGAATGCCCTCAACTACTTGTAAGTTCCTTGACTTGCAATGCCTTGGGAGTACTGATGTTTTGATTGAAGCTCTACTCTGTTAAGAAAATACATCAATTTTCATGTTGTCATGTTACAGATTATGTCTTTAGATTACTTTAGTTTTCATTAGTGTCCTATGATCATGTTTTGCAGAGATATGAGCAATAATACATTTAGCTCAGCTGATTTTCCACTGTGGTTTTCAAGCTTGCAGTCATTGACGACTCTGTACACTTCTCTCCCTCTCTCTCTCTCTCTCTCTCTCTCTCTCTATAT